GCCCCCCCCCCCCAGACAAAAAATCAGCCCGAGGCCCCCGGTGATTTTTTTCGGCCCGCCTTTTCAAGGCCCCGCGGTCGGTTCTTGTGTCGAGGAAGAGGAGGAGCAGGAGGACCAGGACGTTGATCAAGACGAGCACGAGGAGAAGGAGGAGCAGGAGGACGAGGAGGTTGAGCAGGGGGGCAAGGACGAAATAAGACGCCTTAAGCGGCTCCGAAAATCCTGCAGCTCAGCGCGGTCTGGTCTCGGAGCCGCTTCGGGCCTTTCATTCCGTCCTGGACCCCTTGTTCAACCTCCTCGTCCTCCTGCTTCTCCTGCTCCTCTGGTTCCCCTTGATCACCTCCTCGTCCTCCTGCCCCTCCTTCTCCTCGACCCAAAAGCTGGCCGTGGGGCCTTGGGAGGGCGGCCCCACAAAAAATCACCGGGCCTTGGGGTGATATGTTTTTCCTGGGGGGGGGGCAAGGGCGTCCGCAGATGAGCCCGCGCTGAGCTGCAGGCTTCTCGGAGCCGCTTCGGGTCTCTGATTCCGTCCTTTCCTCTTGCTCTTCCTCTTGGACTGTTTCCTCGCCCTTTGGGGCCCTTTTGGGGCCATCTTGAAGTCAGCTTGGGCCGTCTTGGGACCATTTTGTGGACATCTTGGGCCGTCGGACAGCCGAAAAAGAAAACGCGCCCAAATTATTCAACAATTGAAGGGAATACAACCATTTGGGCATTTCGGGCTCTCCTGAGGTCCTCTTGAAGACTTCCTAGACTGTCTAGGAGGCCCCTTGGATCCCCTTGGGGCCCGTCTGGGGCTGTCTTGGGCCATCCTGGGGCTATGTCGAATCGTATCGTTGCCATCTTGGACGTTTTGGAGCCGTCTTGAAGGCCATCGTGGGCGCCTTGGAGTTCTCGTGGGCCGTCTTGGAGGCGCCTTGGGGGCCTCTTGGACCGTCTGGAGGCCGTCATGGGGCCGTCTTGGAGGCCTCTTGGGCGCTCTTGGGGCCATCTTGGGGGTCTCTTCGGCGGCATTGGGCCGTCGGCAGGCCGAAAACGTCAAAATCCATCAAGAGCCCACGGGAAATCAGCTGTCTTGGCCTCTTCGGGCCTTCCTGCAGATCCCCTTGGAGGCTTCTTGGACTGCATTAAAAGCCTCTTGGGGGCCTTTGGGGCCGTCCTGGGCCATCTTGGGGCCATCTTGGAACGCCTCGGGTGCATCTTGGGCCGTCTTGGAGACATATTGGGGCCGTCTTGGGCTCTCTTGGAGCGATCCTAGCCGCCTTGGAGGCATCTTGGTGACCATCTTGGGCCATTTGGGCCGTCTTGGTGGCGATGTGGGCCACACCTTCTGGTCCTTCCGAGGGGCAGGCGGTCTGGGCCGAAGGCCACTGGGAAGGGTTTGAAAATAACAAGAGCAGCAAAATGTCTGGCACGCCGTCCACCCCTGTGGCAAGCACAGGGGGCGGCGGATCCAAGACGCCTACGGCGAATCACCGCCGCCCCCAGCCTTTTTGAGAAGCGCCTATGTGGCCAAACGTTGGGCCCCAACTTGGCCAAGCTATCTGATTATGTATTCCCCCAGCCGCTCCGGAAACTCTTCGGGGAACATTTGGGGGAGGCTGAGGGGGAGGATCAGGAGAGGGAGGAGGAGGAGGAGGAGGAGGAGGAGGAGGAGGAGGAGGAGGAGGAGGAGGAGGAGCCTCTTGGGAGCCTCTTGGGGCACTCTTGTGGGGCCTCCTGGGGGCTTCCCGGGGGCCTCTTGGAAGCCTCTTGGGGGCCTCCTTAGGCCTTTCGGGGGCCTTGGGGGCGTCTTGGGGGCCTCTCCTTGGCCGTCTTAAAGCGTTCCTGGCCCGCTGACGGGTCTGACGCCGTCGGAAGCCGGGGGCCTCTCTGAACCGATGTGGGGTCCTCTTGAGGCGCTTCAGGGCCGTCTTGGAGGCCATCCTGGGTGTCTTAGAGATCTCTTGGGGCCGTCTTTGGGGCCTCCTGGGCCGTCATGGGGCCATCTTGGAAGCCTCCTGGGCGTACTGGGGGCGAGGAGGAGGAGGAGGAGGGGGAGGTTGAGGAGGAGGAGGAGGAGGAGAAGGAGGAGGAGGAGGAGGAAGAGGAGGAAAAGGAAGACAAGGATTTGGAAAAGCAGGCGAAGAGGGAGTAGGAAGAGAAACCGGGAGGAGGACCAGGAGAAGGAGGCAGGGGGTAGGAGCGAGGAGACACAGTCGGACAACGAGAGACAAAGTCGGAGCAACCCCCAACCCCCAGAGTCTGGGGGCGCCCCAGAGTCTGAACAGCACCTTTTTCAGATGGGGCCTGCGCGCCCCGCCGCGGGGGGAGGCGTTGCTCTTCTCTCTCCGCTCGCTCCCTGCCGCCGCGCGCCGAAGCTATTTAGGCTGTGTCGGCACCTGCGTGGAGAAGCGTCGCTCGCGGGCGCCGCGGGCCCGTCGGCGCGAGAGTTGAAAGGTTGTGGACCGTCGTCGGCGTCGTCGTCACCCCTCGTCCCCTCTCCTTTTGTTCTCTTGCGCGCAGTCACTCGTGGCTTCGCGGATCGCAGAAGGCATGTCTTATATGCCCGCCATGGGCGATGAGACCGATGCGTTAACGTCACCAGCATGTCCCATTTACCAGATGTCGTATTCTTTGGATGAAGACATATGCGCCCATATGCTATGTTGTCCCTCTCTTGTGGCTCGGGTGCCATGCGTTTCGCGTGCGTGCCCGTGCCCGTGGTTTGCCCTCTCCTGCAGCTCGAAACCTGCGTGTTTTACGCGTGTGCTTGTGGATTGCCCCTCTCCTGTGGCTCGAATTCCACGTGTTTTAATCGAAGGTTTGGATTTGGCCCTTATCTTGCGGCATGAGCGCTGCGTTTGACCTATGCGCCTCTTGATTGCTTGTCTCCTGGTGCTCGGACTCCTTGTGTGTGTTTACGCATGTGCTTATGTATTGCCCCTCCCTTGTGGTTCGAACCTGTGTGTTGTGCGTTTGTGCATGTGGATTGCCCCTCTCCTGTGACTCGGATCCAATGTGCTTTAAGTATGCTCCTATGGATTGCCCCTCTCCTGCCGTTCGAATTCCATGTGCGTTGCGCATGTTTTTTGGTTTTGCCCCTTTCCTGTGGCTCGAGCTTTGCGCGGTCTACGCGCGCGCCTGCCCCTCACATGCGTTTCGAGTTTAATTTGTGTTCTACGTTTTTGCTTGCGGTTTGCCCGTTTCTTGGCGCTCAAACCCCAGCTGTTCTACGCATGTGCATGCGAGCTGCCCGGCTCTTGTGTTATCCGTCGCCTTTTGGCCCCGCGGCATCCGGGCTCTCGATTGAGCGGTTCTGGTCCGCCGTGCCGCCCGAGCTCTCGGAAGTGGCGATCGATGAGCGTCTGGTTTCTCAGTGCCATTACGTTCGCGATCACCGTTTCTGACTTGGTTTCTCGGCCCATCTCGCGCTTAATTTTTTCCTGCGCGGCGCAATGATGAAGGGGCCCGTTGTTTGGCTTAGCGGCGAAAACGCAGACGCGCCCGAGAAACGATTGCCGCGCTGGCGCAGCTTCGTGGAAGCGGCGAGGATGCGGAGCGCGCCGCCAGCAGCCGCACCGAGCGCCGCCGTCGGGAAAACACTGGAGACGATGCAAAAACTCGCCGCCAGATATGCTGGCTAATCAGTCCCTGCGAATGCTGCAAGCGTCGGCGACAACGGGTCATCGCCATTGCAATTCAATCGGCCGCACTGCTATGCAAGTAGAAGTCGGCGCGGGCAGCAGGAGGCCCAGCCGCCTTTTGACAGGCGCAAGAGGGGCGGGGCCGAACTGTGGTTCTCCAAAGTGGAGCCAGCGCGAACGACCGCGCTCGGGTTGCCGAAGTGGTCCGTTTTTTTTTTTTGTTGCACCGATCCTGATTCTTTTGGTGATCCAGCGAAAGATATAGTTCTATCTTTGGGCGCGGACTTGCCCTCTGGCGTTGCCGATTCGGAATGCCACGTGGAGTTACGCGTGGAACTTCGCGGCGCTGCCCAGTGCAGTCGTAGATTCGTTGCAATGCGCTTGGAATGGTCGTTGCTTTCAAGCTGGCGCAGTCAGGTGGTTCGCGTGGAGATATCTGCAATTCCCGACGATTTGGAGTGCGACCCCGCGCGTGGGGGGTTTTGGACAGCGTCGCGGACCACCAAGAGACGACCTAATGGGCCACGCGTGCGGGCAAACGACAGTTTCGCGAGAGGAAACGGGTCCACAGCTACGTCGCGGAAGCATCCGACGGCATCATCTGCAACGGCAGTTCTGCGTCGCGCGCCTCGCGCAGCGCCATGATGCATAATGCAATGTCAGGCAATCAGTGGCTCATCTCTTCGAACGCGGCGCTGCCCAGCCTGTTGCGCCCATGCTCTCGCAACAGCGGCGCCGCTCGGCCCGTTGCGCCGGCGCATTTATGGCCGCGGGGCGCTTGAAATCCACGGCGCTTCTCAGCCCGCGGCGTGCGCCATGTTCCGCGAATGCCGAACGAGAAGAGCGTCATCGTCTTCCATGCTCATCTTCTCGGCGTGACCGTGGAGTCGTTCGGTCGGTCCTGAAACGGGAGGGGGCCGAACGACTTCGCGGTCCGCGCAGACCAGTGAGATCTCCCTCCGCTTCCACAGGGTATCGTGGAGCTTCGTATCCATTATCGGTATCATCCTCATAGCCGTCATCGTCCATATCATCCTCACCGCTTGCATACGTGGGACACATGGAAATCTCCACGAACCACCTGCTATCAGGGTGCTGTGTTGGGTATTTTCTGATTGCGGATAGCACGATGGGGCCAATTATGGAGTTCCAGATCCGCGATGGCGCGCGTCGGCGGGTAGATAAAAACGACGCAATGTGACAGGATGGGTGGGAGGGGTAGGATTTCAGATACGGTGCGAGCGCGCCTGGCTTGCCTCCACCCGTCCCTCTGTTCCTTCCGTCATCCCCGATGGCGACAACGAACGCGACGCCGATTTCGACGCCGACGGAGGCCGTCGATATGGCCCCTTGTGGCCGTCCCCTCCCCCCGCGGAGGCGCGGCGCCGGTGTCGGAACGGCAAGATGGGCTCTCCGACAGGGAGTTGGCCGAAAGGCTGCAGCGGGAGGAGATGCCGCAGGTCGGCGGCCTCTTCGGCGCCCTCGGGGTTTTCGTCGTCGTGGTCGCTGTGGTCGTCGCGGTCGTCGTGGTCGTGGTCGTCGTGGCTATCCTGGGCGTGGTGGTCGTCGTGGCCGTCGGGTGGTGGTGGCGTTCGTCACCGTCTCGGCGTTTGAGTTTTTGAGGTTTTTGGTGTTTTGCTGGATTTTTGGGGTCGGCCTCGTCGCCTCGGGGCTGAAGCCGCCAGAGGGTTTTGGTCAGAACGCGCTCCAGGAGAGGCCCGGGGTCGCTCGTCGTCGTCATCCTCCTGCTCCTTTTTCTCCTCCTGCTCACCCTGATTGTCGTCGCAGGTTTCTTGGCGACATCCTGGGTGCTTTCAAGAAGATGCTCCCCTGGGAGCGTTTGGTTAACACTTTGAAGAGTTTAGGGGTGTCTGGGGCGATCTTGGGGCCGTCTGGGGGATTTCGGGAGATCTTGGGGTATTACTTGAGGGTCTTGGAGCCGTTTTGGGCCAGTCTTGGCGTCTGGTCGCCGCCGTAGGGCCGTCGTGGGGAGGGTCTTCAGCCGTCTACAGGGTAGCAAGCTCTGGTCGCCGTGGCCGCAGCGCAGCACGCCACCTGCGGACAGGAGGAAGCGGGGCTGCTCCAGAATTCGGCCGCGAGGTCGAAGAAGCGGCACCCCGAGACCGATGAGTTTCTCGAGGCCAGGACAACTGGCTGCTCCCTTTCCGAGTGACTTTGGCGAGGTCGCTTGCCGAGTCGGTAGCTGCATGGTTGCTTGGATTGGGTCCTTCCCGACCTCGTGCGGCACCAGCTCTCCAGTCCAGGTCAACGACAGCACCTCCCAGCCGACCATAGGAACCTGTCGAGGCGAGCAGCGCTGCTCGGTCGGCGCTTGCGCCCTGCAGTGTCCCAGTTCAGGGAGTTGCCCGACCACATGCTGAGGGCGCCTGGCCCAAGAGGTTTGAAAGGACTTACATCCTCAATCATCTATTGGCCTTCGGCCCATCCTGCCACCGAGCCCGGGCCTTGAAGCAGATGCCTCTTGGAGCTTCGTGGGAACCTCTTGAGGCCTCCTGGGTGCGCCACTCTGGAGCGTGCTGGCGGTCTCCCTCTCATTGGGCCCTCTTGGGGGCCTAGCGAGCCTTTCTTGGGGCGTGTTTGGTAGGTTTTTGGGGGCGCATGGAAGTTCCTTCAGACCAAGAGTGCAGGCACCCGAAGATAATTTCAGCAGATGTTCCCCGAGCCGTGCCTGCACTCTGTGGGGCGCACTCGGGCTCTTTCCGGCAATTGGTTGGGTCTGCCACTTTAAACGGAGAAGGTTAAAGGCGAGATATAAATCGAGCATGTACCGCTGCCGTGCCTGGCTCAAGCCGGGCCCGGCCAGATATGTGACTGTGCCTCACTGAGGCGCACTACTTGCATCCGAGATCGGAAAACATCCTTTTCCATTGACGATGCCCATCCTACTCTTTACTCCAGATCCCATGCTTCGTCTTGCTCTCTTGCTCATGCGCTATGAGCCTAAGCCTGGGATATGGAAGCGCCTAAGGCGGACTGTATACCTAAGCTTACCAGCTTGTTTTCGACTTGGTAGCGGAGCTGGCTACACTCTCGTGTGGCTGGCTCTCGCTCTTATTCCTGTAATCCACGGCACAACTTGGTGGACTACTACTACGGTGGAATACCATGTTGCGCCGGCTCTGCGAGGAGCGGAGCCAGTCCGCGATCGAGCTAGCGGGGCAACCCGCGAACTCGAGACGCTCTCTCCTACTTCACTGCGCTACTACACTCCCGACTTCCACCAGATGCCAATCGGCAACTCGATCGAGAACGTGGTCACCCTGCGGGGCTACCCGCAGCGGGGCCACCTGCATCCCGTGCCGGTCAGGCGCCTCACGGCTACCACGCCAGAGCCTGACAAACCACAGCCCAAACCAATCACCGAAGCCGAAATGCACATGCATTGGATCAAGATAACTATCTTCGGCATTCTGTGGGTAATAATGGGATGTGCTGTGGGATACATGCGGCAGGGGATGGACGACACGCGTACTACTGGCCCTTCGTGGGACCCTGCCGGTACTACGCCCTTCCGCGAATACGTTCGCGAAGTACATGCATGGCTAAACGTAACGAGTGGTAATATGACACCACCACAACAAGCTGCAGCACTACAACGAGGCCTTCAAGGTCTGGCTCGTCGTATCGCCATGCAGGTCCCCTCCCAGATCATCAATTATGGTGTAACTGTCAATGGACAGCCAACGGATGCAGTAACCTACATACTGTACTTACTGAGCACCAAATTTGAAAATCTGGAAGATGAGCGCCAGCTCAACTCTGGCACTGCCCTTATCGACTTCCGCGTCGAAAGGGGCGAGCGAATCGACTCAGTATTAGCTCGATTCGAGATGGCCCGTGACGAGGCTAACTCTGTTGGCTTTGTCATCCCCAACTTTCAGATCCTAACGCTGATTCTCTTCAGAGCGTTAGGCGTTGGCGCGTCACGAGCCCAACACCTGCTTGAGCCCTTCAATCATCAGATGCCCCGAACACAAGCAGACTATGACAGGCTGCTGACCAGGATGAGGAACTACGGACATGTTGCCGAGCGCTCTCCTGGCAACATAGCGGGTATCTTCACAGGGCACCACTCACATGCAGGTGTCTACGCCACGACTGCGGGGTCACCCGCTGGTCCTGGCGAGCCAAATCCCTGGGCTGACCCAGCCGATATGCCCAACGAGGCCACTGCCCTTCTTAGGGCAGACCGGCCAGGCATCGGCAGAGGCAGCTGAGGCGAACGCCTGGTCGAACTACTCGCCAGGCGCCGCCTACACTGCAAGCCCGCCCTCGGGCACAACCCTCTGGGGCCAAGCGGAGTCATCCGCTCAATGGTCTCAGCCACCCTCACCGTTTGAATCTGGCACTGACACAGATACCTCATCTGACGATGAGCACAATGGCATAGTCTCTGCTGGCAATGACTATCCAGCGGATGACACTCACCTCTCTGAACAACAAAGGGCGGAGGCCGCCTTTATGGCTTATCGCAAATCAAAACGCCGTTGGAGGCGCTTTGTGAAGAAACCAGTCAGAAAGGTGAGACGTGCAGTACGCCGACATTTCAAACAATTTGGAAAGGGTCGTGGTAAAGGGGGTCGCAGACGCCGTATGCATGGTAGGGGTATTACTGCTTTCCTCACGTCCTTAACTGATATGGCTTTTGAAGAAGTTCTTATCGGAGGCAAAGGTCGAGGTCACAGGCGGACCTCCGGTAAGGGAAAGGGGCGGAGGGGCAACCCTAGGGACGCTTCTGGTAATACTATGAAGTGTCATACATGCGGTAGCACAGAGCATTTGCGCGATCAATGCCCGAAGGGGAAAGGAAAGGGATCCGTACATTTGGCTCAAAACTCTTTTATGGATGACATAGATTACATTGACTACGAGTTTTACGTCAATCCAGAAGCGGCTCCCGCTGCGGGCTCTTCCACGTACTACGTGATGGCCCGCTATGCTGAGGCAACTGTGGCCCTGGAAGACTACGCAGTGACCCTCTTCGACGAGTTCCACGGTTGGGACGAGGTCGATGAGATTGCGTACAACGCTTGGTTCGGTCTTCCAGCGGGGCCACCCGCCGGTGACGAGGTCTCCGAAGCCGAGACCGTCCCGGCAACAGAGGAAGAACTCACCGCCGCGCTGGCCCCACAAGTGATTGGTATGCCGTTGCTGCCAAATCCATCGGGGGCTGGTTCGGAGATGGGAGACGCCGATGACGAAATGCGGGGCCATCCCGCGTATTCCGATTCCGAAGAATCCGAAGAAGATTACAACGACATGCTCCAAGAGCAGGTTTCCGAAGCAATCCGACTCTTGAGTGCGCCAGCACAGCAGCAGATGACGATGAATGAACTGCTGTCACACCCAGGAGTTGCACGTCTACGTCCATACTTGGATTCGAACATGTCAGCATCTCAGATGCTCACAGCACTCCAAGCTCTAGCGGGGTCACCCGCCGAAGAAATGCTAGACGCAACAGCGGGGCCACCCGCTTGGTCTATGGATGTATTCATGCAAGGTTGCGATCAAATGAACATTAACGACCTCTCGATGGAGCAGTTAAATGACATCGGATACTTCAGAAGCCCGTATCAAAACGTGTTCATGGCCCAGGACAGCTCAGAGGACTCGGATGACATGCGGTACGACAAGAGGGACAGGCGACCGTCGCCTCCCCGAGACTCCGAGCAGGACGATCAAAGGCCAGTGACACGTGATAGTGCGTCGGCGGGGCCATCCCGCGGAAGTGCGTCAGCGGGGCCAGCCCGCGGAAGGAGCCGCTCTGCTCCTAGACGCCCTACGCACGACGAATCGGGTTACCCATACAGCACTGAGCACTCCGTTGGAGTATCTGCTCAGCAGGTGCCGGATTGGTACATAAGATGGTACCCCGACTACTCTATGGAGACTCTTCGGCATTGGTATTCTAAGGAATACTGCACCAAAAGGGACGAGACTGGCGCAATAATCCGTACCAAGGGCGGCAAGACCAAGACGCCAGAGGCCTGGGACAAAAGGGCGAAAAAGCAGGAGATCATCACTGACCGCAAAACGTACAGAAAACAGGTGTGTCAGTGTGAGCCCTTCAAAGGCCACATGCGCAGGAGTCCTATGGACCGCCCTTCCAGGAGCCCTCACCACGGAGAGACCCCGTGGAATTGGTCTCATGGAGACGATGCTGGCAACGTCCATGACCCAAACAAAGAGGCTCCTGGAGGGGGGAAGCGCATCACTGAGGCCGATCGCGTCCCTATGACCGAAGAAGTGGCCAACGCCGTCAGGGAAAATTGGGCAAAGCTCCCCAATGACCACCGCCTCAAGGAGTGGAACCGCCGATTCCATAAGGAGGCGGGGTCACCCGCAGAATCCAGTGGGGAAGCGGGGTCACCCGCAGAACCCAGTGGGGAAGCGGGGTCACCCGCAGAATCCAGCAAGGAAGCGGGATCACCCGCAGAAG